GCGGGTGGAGTGGTCAGCAGCGTGTGAGAGGGCGTTTCAGACCTTGAGAGACCAACTTATCCGGGGACCGGTATTAGCCCAGCCGGATTTTTCCAAGCCCTTCATCCTACAGACAGACGCTTCCAAGGTAGACCCCGCCACAGGAATTAATAAATAACTTTTCTTTATTGGCCCTCTCCACACCACTGGTGATTTTATATACCTCTATCATATCCCCCCTCAGTCTCCTCTTTTCTAAACTGAAAAGTCTCAGTCACTTTAACCTCTCCTCATATGGGACCCGTTCCAAACCCCTAATCATTTTAGTTGCCCTTTTCTGAGCCCTTTCCAAGGCCAAAATATCTATATCCATTTCTATAAAACTGTTATTGAGACTTTAGAATTGCTTTGATAAACATGCCATCACATTTAAATATTTTAATAGTCTGTGTAAATATTTACAATAAATTCACCAACATAAAAGTCACAAATGAAATGCTTACATAGATAAATTTATTAGCAAATGGGAAATTAGAAGGTTTTTTTCATTTTTTTTAAAGAAACTAGTTCTTTGGTCCTAAAGTGATACAAGAAAGGAAGCATATCCGCCTGTGCTGAATTTTAAATACTTACATTTTCTATTTTTATAAACAAAATGAAGGAAGTATATGAAAAAAAATAAAACAGTGAATGATCTTTTCGGTTTCTATACTGAATGGAGCAAACAAAATTACCCAATATATTTGGCTGATGTAGATAAACCACTTAACAGCACTATCTGATATTCTTCTGAAATAGATTAATCTGTACATTTCTATAAATAAATTTTATTACTAAATACAAGAAAACAAAACTATCAAAAACACATTTTACTTAAGAACTGACCATTTCAAGTCAACCGTTTCAGTACTTTGCACTAAGACTTCCATAGTCATTGATAGCTGTCCACAGTTTAAAAACAAACAAACAAATCTGTTCTGTAATGAAGATGAAAAATTCAACACATATCTTGATAGCTGCTTCGTTTACAAATGTTTTTAGGATAAACTACCGAATCAGGATCTCATTCAGAAATCCCAAACACAATGCAACTAGAAAAGCCTGTTTATTCCTATCCGCTTTCAACATGGACCACCACTTGGAAAAAAACAAGATGAAGAAATTTTCACAGTATATTTGGACAGCATCAAGCAGAAATATCCTTCAACAGACAGCATACATAGTAAATCTTGCTAAACATTAAGAAGAAGTTCAATGATTGACTATATACTTTAATTACATTTTAATGTGTAACTTCCTCCTCAGACATTTTTAACAAGAACATTATTTTAATGTATAATGAGTCAGTATGCTGCAGTACTAAAAAGTTGTAACATAACATATTATCTAAAGCAAAATTATATTTGTAACCATCAAAAACAACAAATAAAGAAGAGATGTAGGCCACGTTTTAAGAAAGCACTCTTTCTTCTTTTACTATTTCACTTGAAGTATAAATATATCTACATATCTACATGAACATACTCATATGAGAAATCAAGATACAAATTATAAATATTTTACATAGAGCTGATAAGAACAAAAATAATATGTAACATTAAAATCAGTTATTTGGTTAAGTTTGAAATTTAAAACTTTACAAGCAGTAATATACATCTGTTGTTATACCTATTATAAAACCCTTCATACTTGTTACATTAATTCACAAAAGTAAATGTCATAACAAATCAGTATATTATTTAGACAATCAAACATAATGCAACTAAATAAGCCTATTCATTCCTATCTTTTCTCACCACCACTAGCAAACATTTGCAAATTAAGAATTAATTTTTGCTCTTTAAGGAACAAGATAAAATGTGCCATGCTAGTCATAGTTGTAAGATTACAGTGTTCTGTCAGTTTTAGTTTCATATGCACAACTAATTTTATTTTGGAAGATCTTCCTAAAAAGTTCTAATACTAAATCTGTGATTCATTATTGCATTTTTATACAAGGAAAATATTGCAGCCGCTGTCTTGATTATAAAGATTAGGCACACTGTAAGCAATTAAGCACAATAAATGTGATAAAGAAAACAACAAACTTCACAGTAGAATAACTAGTGTTTTTTTAATCTATGAATTCTAACAATGCAATAGGCAGAAATGGACTTAAGTGCAATCTACTAAACAATCTTTACTGAAGGGCTTTTAAAAATAGTTCAAATGTGATAGTTACTATTAACAGAATGCTATTTGGTTGCTTCATAAGATTTTTCGAAGTAGGATTTTCCCTTCAAAAACACAACTGCATAATATCTTAAAGCACAAATTAATTTTTACAATAACATGAGGCAGCAATTGAAGGGAATTTTTCCCCTTATAAAAACTGGATAGAATAAAATTACTAACTAGTTAATGTTTTATTTAAAGATACTGCTACATCTCCTACAAAATAGTGTTCATAAAATCCATTATTTTGCTAACAAGAAGAGAACACAAATGCGGCCATAAAATTCTTAATTAGAATTGTATTAGAAGTGGAAAATTATGCCAATGGCCAAAACTCAATAGTTCCACAATTCCCTAATTAAATTCTGTGTTTATAACACTGAAATATATTTAAAAAAACAAAGGAATTCCCAAGTCACTTTAGTTCAAAACTATTAAAACAAGGCTTCATACTGACAAATCCATTGGTTTCTGATGAAAATTCAATTGATATCCCATATATACATTGATTTGCAGTATGACTAAACATTAAGTGTCATGTTTTCACTTTAAATCACTAATGATAGGTCAGCATTGAACATGTGTAACATGGTGTAAGGCGTCTTAAAAAAAAATAGGGGATTTGGTTTCACTGCAGATGTGATTTGGAGTCTGAAGATTCATAAACTCTTCAAATGTGCTTGCTATGATAATGTAGCTGCTAGGATAATTCCAAGGATCACAAGCAAGACAGTTACACAAATAATTATGAATGTCATTTTCTGCAAAAAGAAAAAAAAATCTAAATTAATATATCATATCAGATTTAAATCTATTTAAGTTGTGCGTGAATATTTTACAGCCACAGCAAATAATATATATAAATATGTATATGAAATTAGTACATATAGAAAATATAAACATATATAAAATGCTGACATGTAGTTGACTTTTTTTAAAAGCACTCAAATACAATGGCATGTTATTGCCAGTATTTCTCTTCCAACTGTACATATAATTATTGTCAATCCCACCAGTCTTAAATTCACTTTTGAATATTTGTCTAATACATACATGTTTTATTTCATGAAATACTCATTAAAATCCATAAACAACTTCTTCTGAAATTATGTTTGCTACATATGGAAGCAGAGAATTAAAAAAAAACATGTTTATGTCCACAGTTGTAACTGGAGATTTGCAAAACCATATGCTTATGTTCTCCTTTATTTAGATGCTTGTTTATTCTCACTAACATGCTATGAACTGAATAGAATGTAATAAAAAGTAAATAAGGAGCTATCACATGTAACTACAGGCAGTCCCCGGGTTACGTACAAGATAGGGACTGTAGGTTTGTTCTTAAGTTGAATTTGTATGTAAGTCGGAACTGGTACATATTGTAGGGGAAACTCTAGCCAAACATTTCTCCAGAGCTCAGTTTTATTCTCCCACACCTCACTTCCCTCAGGGTATTATTCTCAAACTGAGGTGTCTGCTGAGAAAAGCTGCTCCGCATCTCCCTGGTCTGCTGGGGG